GTGGTTTTATAGTTATTGCCCCAGACCTCTGCACAATAGCTTAAGTATGGTGAAACCAGTGAACAGTAGAGAATATGAAGTGATGTTTGTCTAATACCTGTTTTGCCTTGTTCAGTACTGCAATGCTACGTGATACTTTGGCATGAATATATCTTACGTGAGCTCTCAGTTAAGTTTTTCATCTATTATTAGATTATAGTTTCAGGTACGATGGAGCTGTCGGGACTTTAGAGTCGGGACATCGGGAGCCGGAGACAGCGAGAGGTGAGGACATCAAAAGCACACTGATTAAATTCAAGTCGTTGTTATTTATTTAGCCCCAACAACACCTGCCTCAAAGTGTTTTATATTGTAATGTAAAGACCCAACAATATTATCAGACGAGCCCCTTTAAGCAAGCACTTGGTGACGGTGGGAAGGAAAAACTCCCGTTTAACAGGAAGAAACCTCCAGCGAATTAGGGTCAGGGATTTAGGGAACTAGGATCTGCAGCTGGCTGCTGCTCAACCCTGATTGGACAATTTGATCTGCAGCAGCTTGGTGCTTCATTGCAACACACTGAAATTTGCCACGCCACCAGGGGATCAGTGCAACATCATACTTCCTGTTTCCTCCTAAATTTGGACACTGATGAAATGATTTCTGCAGACCTCACGTTAGATCAGCTCCACCGATAATCACGGAGCGTCTCGTCCTTCCTGCTTCTGCGCACGAAAAATGAGACTACAGATGAAACGCGCCTCTCCTTTAAATGCAGAATAAATTTAAAAGATCCTTCAGCTCGAGGTCGAAGCTTCTTTTTTGTGATTCTTTATTTTTCCTTTGAAAGAATAAAGTTATGTTATCATTCATATTTTTTTTCTGAAACTATTAAAACAGTCTTCCCAGCCTCATCGTTCATTTGATCTCATGAATCGTATAATTTAAATGTCTTTAGTTAAAGTCTGCTGTCTGCCTGGTGTTTGATGGGACAGAGGGACCTTGCTCAGTCTGTGGCGCCCCCAGGTGGCTCCTCCAGGGAGGGACTCTAAAAGGGTTTTCTTCATAAGGATGAGCTTGAGGGAGGACTGATGTGATATCTTTGTGGAGCTGAATCGGCTCTCGCTGACGGTCAGTAGCTGTTAGCGCAGTAAATTCTGACTTATTTTCCGTGGTGGTCGTCGTTTCCAGCACAGGAGGTATTCATTTCACCTCCGATCGTCAGGCTCAGAGCCATTACTCGTCTACCTCTGTGCACTCACGCGTAAAAGACATTTTCCTGCAAAGACTTTTATTTTCTGGAGGTGCTGTGAGCTCTTCCTCCAGCCTGACTTCGTTCCACGTGCAGTTCGGTGCTGCTTATATAAAACTGAAGTAAACTCCGTCGCACGAACCTGAAAATGTGATGAAACTATTCATTAAAACTTCATGTAGTACAGCTGAAAAGTCTGCTCACGTTTCTCGTCGTTCTGGATCTCGTTGATGGTTGGGTTTTCTCTCACTTCCTCCAGCTTCACCTGT